GGGAGGCAGAGACTCACTGCTGCAGAGGTCTTTTCTTTTTTCTTTCTTTCAGTGTAGATGTACTCTCAGTTAGAAAACTTTGGCTCTCTTACTCTAGCAGTAGCAGCTCATGCTTTTAGCTCTGGTGGTCCCCAGTTCAAGCCCCAGTGTATCGGTTAAGATGGTGGCTGTCACACTTCTTAGCTATTCTTCCTAGTCTGCACCAGGGAAACCTGTGGGTTTTGGGGCCTGGATCCTGAAGGTGCTGAATGCCATCAAGTCCCACTGACTGTAGCTGAGTTCAAAGTGCTCAGTACCCCTCAGGATCTGGTCCTTGAAGCTCAGGTAGACTCCTTGTGGCTCTTTTTTCCACTGGGAAATGGGAGGATCTGCCCTAGTTTTCTTCAGTTGTAGCTTTAATCTTACAAACTGGGGAAACATTGCATGAGCTTGATTCTTCACTGTTCTGCCCTTGTATAGTTACTTAGAGCTGTGCAAAGTGGGTGTGAAGGACAAGCTCATCAAAATGGCAGCATTTTGCACCCACTTTGCACTGGGCTAAATGACTGCAAGGCAACAGTGAATCAGGCCATCTGTGTCTTTCTGCAAAGTTACATTTTCCTTATCTTTGATTCTTCCTTTTTCATAAATTCTGCGTAGCTCTTAACTTCAGTGTCACTCAGGGTCAAGGACTTTAAAGAGCTAGGGTCTGGTTCCTGGGAGTAAAGGGTATCCACCTAGGGCGGAGGGAAGGGGATGCGGAGGGGTGTTCAGAGAACCGTAGGAAGCAAAGAACAGACAATAGAAAGGTCCACACACCAGTGGGGGGCGGGAGTAAGAGGATATCCCAAATGGACTGCTGTTTAGTTCTGTGGTATTATGCATTCGAGTTATCACTGAAAAATTCTTGACCAGAATAATTTCTGTTAAACACAGCTCGGATTAGGGACCGGATCCTACTCCAGTTGAAGTCCAGGGCAGAAATCCCATTGATTTCAGCAGGGATCAGGTTCCGACTCTTCATCCTAAATCATAACCACAGCCGTGAGGAACTTCTCAATGACAGTCATTGAGACCAGAGCTCTGCCAATGGATCCAATTGCAGGGCCTTTGTGAGCATTTTATTCACAACAGGCAATAAAAGCTTCTGAATATTTCAGCCTCTGGTTGAATGTGAGGTACAATTAATATTTAAAAAAAAGGGAATGAATATGTAGCTAGTGAATGACTTCCAGCCCTAATAGGTAACAATCCATTCTAGTTTTAAAGGACTCAAACAATGAGGCTTCCACCACTTCCCTTGAAAGGGGGGATTTCCTGTACTCTTGACAATGACTAAACTTTGTTCCCTTGAAAAAAGGATTTTGCCTTTCCTGTAGAAGTGTCTGCTGCTTTGCAGCACTGAGCTTCAGAGCTTTGCAGTTGGTTCCCTCCGACACTCAGCTGTATAAATCAGTGTAGTTCCTTTGACTTCAGTGGGACTATGTTGATATTATGGCAACTGATCAAGCCTGTTTTGTCTCTTTCTTCCTCCGTGTCCTCTATGCTGCATCTCTGAGTAGATCTTTTAGTCAAGTGTGAGGTTCCTGGCACTTTAATTTTCCATGAGCTGTGTTAACAGTACAGAGGTAGAGATTTTAAAGCAACTTCTTTAAAGTGAGGAAGCCATAAAGTTCCTAATTAGAATTCCTTTTGATTGGGGCTACTCTGCAGTCATAATCCTGCCTTGAGTGTAACTCCCGGGTTACAACTGTGGGGTCGATGCAATTCCTCTCTTTTACAAAGAGTGAAGTGGATTCAGCGAACCCAAAAGCAGAAGGGCATTTTTTGATCTATATTTCCCCTTAACATAATACCAAATTTGCAGAGTAACTGTCCCATAAGTAACCGGCATGAGAAGAGCTCAGTAACGCTGGGCAAGCAGACAGCACTGACTGAAGGTTTGTTGCAGGAGAGAGGAGTCCCATTCATAGCTGTAATTTACTCCAAACTCCATTTTGCTTTGCTGTTAGAGCTTGCCAGATTCCAGCAGATAATGATGTAGGAACAGGACACGAGACTGTCCACCCTTCCTCCTCCTCCTTTGAGGCAGATATATACGCCCGGATGGTTGTATTAAAATGCTGGCTCTCAGGCTGATTTTCATAAGGAGCTATGTGGCCTCCAAAACTCTGGAGGCTTCTCTAATAGATCCAGAAAGTACATAACTATAATAACTCTTTAAATGTAACTTCCCACCTCAGCCACTCCCAGCAGAGAGCCCCAGCAATGGCTTAGGGGTTTTCAAGTGGAAATTCCCAGCTGGGCTCTGCAGAGTTAGCACTTTGTAGATAAGGAAGAGCTTGCTATAAAGGAATGCAGGGTTTTGCAGAGAATACGCCTCTTGATGCTCTTTGCTTCAGCAGTATTTTTCGGTGGCATTCTCCTCGTAGTGCTGAATGTTTGCACTGCAAAATGATTTTGCTAAAGCGTAGTTTCTTCGAGGGCTATAGCCACTATGTGACAGATGCCTGCTCTTTTCTCCCATCCCATCCTAGGTAAGGGTTTGAGTCGTGCCCCTGCTGGAGTCCCAACGCAGATATACAACAATTGTTTGCTATTAGTGCATAACAGTTATATTACTATATCACGATTAGCTGTCTTTAGAATTGAGGCCAATCCAAAGCCCCAGATCCAAACACTCCCTGCCTCTCGCTACTTACATTAGGGGAAATCTGGAGCTGGAGCCAAACTTCCTGGCTGGCCTCTCTTTCTGTTTCTCTGCTTGTTTCTGGCATTTCTAATGAGCTTATCACCATAGCATCCAGATACCAGATCCAGAGGCTGAGACTCTAATTCAATTGCTCTGTAACGCAGCCTGCTCTTCCCAGCTCCTATGTTCGGCCACAGCTCTCTGTGAGCTTTAATGGGATAGCTTTTGTTTCTTTGCATGCGTTATATCCGTTTTCTATTTCATTTTGTCTTTGGCTCTCATTATTGTGGGCAGGCTTCTGTGCAGCAGTGGAATTTTCACCGTGCCCTGACTGCTCTGTTCTGGTTGAGGACATGCAGTGACTGCTCTGTGCTCCCAAGAGCTTACCCCGGGCTTTAGTCTTCCCACTGAGCAACGGCAGGAGGTACCCAAAATAAGGTGTATGGCTGCAGGAAGCAAATCTCTGCTCACCCACCAGGTTTGCTGGCACTAGGAATGTTTTGGTGGAGAACACGAGAGGTTCGTGGGGATGTTGGAAGAGGCCGGGATAAATACCTTCTCCTATACCCATTTTCATATTTAAGCTGGCATATTGTACAATCAAAGGAGAGAGAAAACAGAGGGAGAAAACAGTATTTATCCCTCTGTGTCCCCTTTACTTTTCTCTCTGAGTCCTAATCTAGCTCTTTCCCAGCCAGTATGAAAGGCATTGGTGGCAGGTGAACCCCTTATTCAGGGAGGCTAGCCCCCTACCCCGCCTCTACCCCACTCCCCCAGGCCCGGATCCAGAGTAGCCCTGAGACTCCCACCATAGTCCAAGCTGCCCCCAAGCTGCTGGCCGGCCCAAGCTTCAGGCCACCAGCCCAAGCTGAGCCCCCACCAGTTTCCAGGGAGAGGTGGAGCAAGGGCGTGGCCTTGGGGCAGAGTGTGGATAGGGCCACAGCCTGGGTTTGGGGAGGCTTAGCTTCCCCTGGCCTATTATACCCACTGCCCATGGAAGTCAAAAGGGAAAGGGCCACCTGGTGAATCACCAGCACCAGTGAGGAGCTGCCAAAATATTAGGAACCGGTTCCCTACCGGGTCTTCGGCGGCACGGTGGCAGCAGGTCCTTCAGTGCTGGAGCGAGTGAAGGACTCGCCGCCGAAGTGCCGCCGAAGACCCTGTAGGGAACCGCCCGGTGAGTACAAGCTCCACCCGCCTCCCAAAGCAGCCTATCACCCCCCATCTGACCCCCACCCATGTCTTGCCCTCGACTGCCCTCTTCACAACCCGGAACCCATCAACCCTCCCCGCTCCTTGTCCCCTGACCACTCCTTCCCGAGACCCCCCACCCTAACTGCCCTCCAGGACCCCACCCCCTACCCAACTCACCCTGCTCCCTGTCCCCTGACTGCCCCGACCCCAACCACCACCATCCCAACAGACCCCCGGAACTCCCGCCTACTCAACCCCCCCCCCATTCCCCGTCCCCTGACCGCCCGCCCCAGAACGTCTGCCCCATCCACCCTCCCCCCCATCGCCGGGACTCCCTTATCCAACCATCCCAGCCCCTTACCATGCTGCTTACCCCTGCCTCCCACCACTCCTAGAGCCTCAGCGCGCAGCGTACAGGAGTGGCCCTGGACAGCGCTGCAGTGGTGTGGTGGCTCCAGCGGGGCCTGAGCTCCCGCCACTCGGCCTGGAGCTCGCAGCCCCGCCCCGGCCTTACCATGCCGCTCTGAGTGGGAGGAGCTCAGGCCCCGGTGGAGCCACCACGCCGCTGCAGCGCTGTCCAGGGCTGCTCCTGGACGTTGTGTGCTGAGGCTCTGGGAGAGTGGGGAGGTGGGGGTAAGTGGCATGGTAAGAGGCTGGTGCTGGGGGTGGGGTTGGATAAGGGGCAGGGAGTCCCGGGGACAGGGAGCAGAGGTGGTGTTCGATGGGGCAGAGGTTCTGGGGGGCGGTCAGGGGATGGGGAATGGGGGGGTTGGGTAGGGGGGAAGGTGGAGGTGGGGCCAGGGTGGAGCCTCAGATTCTCATGGGGGCCCTGTGGGGCCCGGGGCAAATAGCCCCAACCGCCGGGTGGCCCTGGAGCTCGCAGCCCCCTCCCCTTACCTTGCTGGCGGCTGCTCAAAGCGGCAGGTCTGGGGAGCTGAGCTGCCGGCGGCCAGGGCCGGCTCTGGCTTTTTTGCCGCCCCAGGCAAA